CTTAAATCATTGTTGCACTATATGCTAACTAACTTGGATGTAAATTTAAAAAAATTAAATTAAATTAAATCATAAATCTAAAAAAAAAAAAAAGACTATTCCTTTGGATATAACTATGGTAATACATGCTAACTGACCAGAATCAAATGGGAAAACATTCATGGGTGATGAAGAGATAAGAACTGAAGAGTGTCCAGTGTCCTGATGATTCAGGAAAAACAGAAATGGTAAAGAGGATCTTAGAGTCAGAGGTGGAAGGAAGAGGAAAGGAATAGGCTGATTCCTATAAATCTGAAGTAAAAGCCAGAATGAATGAAACACTCAAACCCAAGCCTTGGAGACTCTGAAGAATTAGGCCAGAGATATTTTGGCCAGTCCACTGTAAGGAAATTTAGGGCCCAGGAGCAAGGACCTGTTTTCTCATGAACCAGGAAACCTAGACAAAGATCTTAGATTTTATCTGTAAGTGAAATCAGGCTAGAACAGAGGAAAGAGCCTTCCTAGAAGTTGCAAAATTCAGGAAGCCAGACCTGGGGAATACTTGGCTTGGTTTCTGAGCAGGACAGAGCAGAACTCTGTATAGTTCTGCAATTCCTGACCAGAACTCAGGCTGTGCCCTAAGAAAGCTTCACGAGGCCCTGGGAAGATTCTGAGCAAATTCTGCTGTTGAGACCAGGCTATGAGGCAATGATCATTCCTGGAGTTGAGAAGCCATGACCTGGCCCATGGCCATGGATCTGGAGACTATGAAGGCAGGACACCCAGTACTTCCTTTACGTAAGCCAAGATTTAGAGTATGAGTTAAAGCAAGACACTTCCCATCTCTGGACTTTAATTTCCTCCTCCACAGGTTAATGTACATTTGAGTTATAAGAATCAAATTAAAAACTCAGGCATCAAAGTGCTTTGATAATGATATAAATGCTCTTCATGTGAGTCATTATCCCTTCCTCTTCTGCGTCACTCTTACTAATGTAGACCACAGGAATGCCTACTGCTTGGGCATCATTTACTAAAAATACATCTCACACTCCTCTGAAGCCATAAGCAGCATCCTGGTGGTCTTGCTCAGCCTTCCGTGGAGGATGTGGACCACATGTGAGTGGGAGAGAGGTCCCCCTTGCAGCTGAATTACGGCTCAGACAGGCTCTCTGTGATGCCCACAGCCTTGACTTCAGGAGAGGTCTGAGGAAAAGAGTGCATGTGTGTCCTTCAGCAGTTGACTCATTCAGAAGTATAAAATGCAGCCATCAAAATGTCTTCCAGTTTCACCTGGGATATAAGGTATTCTTTGTAGTGTGGTAACCGTGGTTTCTCTTCAGAGTGGCTAAACCAAGATTAGGCAACCGTGAGGGCCAGGCAAATGTCAAAATTCATTCCAAAACACCCTGCTGTATGCAGGGAAGGTAGTGGGATGAGCCCCTTCCGAGACTGCCGAGCTCAAGCCGCTAGAAAACCCATTCAAAAACGTTCCTATCTCACTTTCAGCAGCAATGCGTTCACCATCAGCTCAGTCAGCACCAACCCCCAGGTACTTGTGCACAGCTGCTCTGCTGTAGCAGAAGTCCTCCTCGTGGTGATGTAACATCAGTGAGCAGCTCAGAGCATGGAGTCGCCGCTGTGGAACACCCAGAGAGACGCCTGGTGCCCCAGCTTCCTCTGGTCCGTGGCCTTCACATAGACTTCCGACTTCCCTGGCACTCACAGGCCATCACAGGCTCAGGAGCAGGTTGGAGGCTAAAACACCTTTACCAGACAGAGATAACCAAGACCAAACGAGGCTGGGTCCTAAGAGCTTTCCCCAGCAGGGCCTCAGGCTACTCCCAACGACTGTAAGGGGGAAAATCCAGCAAGTGGGCGGCCAGATGGAGTCGTACTTGTCACACTGCAGTACACGGGGAGAGACAGTCTAACCTAGTCCCCGAGCACGAGCAGAGCCAGGAACCCATGCTCTGGTCCCAACTGTGCCAATGCTCAGCTGTATAACTCTTAGGTGGGTCACTTAACCTCTCTGTGTCTCAGTTTCCACATCTTTCAAAGGGGAATATGAAAGTGGCTTCCTCATAACACTTCTATGATAAACAAAGACATAAAATGGAAAAATACATGTAAAAACCTATGGGAAGAGATAGAAAAATGCTATACAAAGTATTATCATTTAATGATAAGATGCTCAAAATGTTGTTTGGTGTCCTCAATCTTCATACCCTCCACCATGCCTAATCCAAGCTTTCAGACAATGAATTCCTACCAAAAGAAAGCCCTTTCTCTGATCTCAGTAGGTTTGTGTATAACCAGTACCTCTCTCAGTCAAGTAGACCCAAAGGCTGCTCTGGGCCAGGATGGCAACATTGAGGTTCCTTTCTCGGGGAGTCCAAGCCATGAAGAAGCCTATAAAACATCGGGAAAAGGCTGGGCCACTTGCTCCTCCAAACCTCTGCATGAGCCCGGGTTAATAAGGGCCAGGGGCAGGTCAAGATGAAAAGTCAGAGTTCCTAGGACCTTCACTAACCCCACTGCCAACCCAAAGGCACACAGTAGGGCAGCATCCCCTTGCTGATCAGAGATCCCTGTGGGCTACCCACACAGGCAGCGTGGACTCCATGCTTGCACACGGTTCACCTCCTTTCCTTTGTACTGTGTGTGGGGACAGAACCAAGACTCGTTAAATAAGCAGTGGCATTTTCTGTGTGGCTTCTACTACACTTGAGCACTGGCAATCCCCATGTTGCCTTCTGAACTACATATACCTAGAGCTAGCTGCCTTCTGGTCATCTTCTTATGTAGCTTCCACAGGAGAACACCAACAATTCAAACTTAATTTTTTCCTCCCCCCAAATAGGCCCTTCTTCCCATGCCCCCATCTCAGTGAATGGCAACCCAGTGGGCAAGACAGACCTGGGTGTCAAGCCAAAGGATTTTCTCTCCCTCACTTTCCATCACCAATCAGACTTCAAGTCCAAAAGCTCTTGTGATCTGATCTCTTGAAGTCCATGCTTCCTCCTTATACCCATTGTTACTGATTCCATTTAGCCTCTCTTATTTCTCTGTATTTTGGTCTCCCTTCCTACAGCTAAAGTGAACTTTCTAAAATTTAATTCAAACCATATCCCTTGCTAGAAATCCTTCATTCACTCCTCACAACCCCCAAGACTGAATCCTAAACTCTGTATCATAATTTACAAGGCCTTCCAAGCACTCTGGTTTCACTCCCATCCACAGTACACCTCATGTTCCTACCAAGCCAAGTTGTCTGAAACCCCCTAAGCACCCCAGGCTTTCTCGCACTTCTGGACTTTCCTACTAGCCATTTGTTTTGGATATTTATTCTAGCCCTCTCCCCACCCCTTCACTAGCCTAACATCTTCAAACCTCAGCTTAAAAATCATGTCCCAAAGGAAGTCCTCTGTGAAAAGTTCTTCTGCCAGTGTTATGTGCTCCTTCTATACACCCCAGTGACTATCACAGCCCTTTATCATATTTATTGTTGTTGCTTATTTAACTGTCTCTCCCACTAGACTGTAAGCTTCAGTGTGAGACTATCTTATTCACTGATATGTGCCTGGAACCTAGCAAAACATCTAGCATATACTAGCATATATATAAGTATATATACATATGGGGATATATATGTGTGTGTGTATATATATATATATATATATATGTATGTATATGTGTGTGTGTGTGTGTGTGTATATATATATATATATATATATATATATATATATAACAGTGAGTGAATAAATGGATGGATCGATAGACAAACAGCCTAAGCCTTAAGTGTAAAAAGTTAAACCCTTAAGAGCCACAAAGGGCCTATTTATAGCATCTCTATGGCCTCTAGGCCAAACCATTTTCAATAGGGTAGGACAGGCCCAGCATAGGCAAACAACCACTAATAGCAGAGGCCTGGGCCAGACTTCAAGCATCACCAGGGTTTTCCAAGTTACCATTTCATTTCGCCATCCCTTGCTTTTCTAAAGTCTCTTCTCAAGTGTCACTGGGATAGACTAATCTAAGATACATATGGCATCAGCGTCACTGGGGGAAACACAGTGAGGGGCAGGTACATAGGACAACTGTGTACTGGGGCCACAGAGCCAGGGGGATGTGCAGGGCTAAGCATGCAGTCTGGGAGGGTACCGAAGAGCTGACACAGCTTCAAGTGCAGGGCTGAGAGGAGGCACCAGGCCAAAGAAGGCAACAGGACAAGTAGAAACAGGCCAAGGCACACAGGGCAGGCTGAGTGGGGAGCACAACACATCAATGAGGTTCCAGCTAGGAGGATGACAGGGGTGAGGGTGAAGGGCAGGGATAAGGGGAAGACAGCTGATGGGCTATGGTATTCTGGGCTGTTGCCGGGGTAAATGAACATTTCTAGCAAGCAGGTAAGTTGGTGGACAGGAAGGGTAGCTTATCTTCCAGAATTCTCAGTGCCCCTAGATGCTCAGCTACCTCTGCAGGATGTCCTTACAAATCACTCACCCAAAAAACTCCACTGATTCAAATTCTAAAGCCAATCAATTTTGGGTTGTGGGGACACATAAAATACTTCCCCCATTTCACTGCAGAGAAAAAACAGTCTCTGGATTCTGACAAACCCGTTTTTAAATAAACCTCACCCCTCTTGTCTACAAACTATAGGGCCCTGGACCTCAGTTTCCTCAGCTAGAAAGTGGGGGTGCCCACCTCACAGAACTGTGAAGCCCATGCACCATTCCAGGCACTGTGTAAGTGTGTAATTTCCCTTTCCCTTTACCACTTCCACCCTAAATGAAGGACAATTGCTGTCATTTTAAGTGCGTGTGGGAGTGGAAATGGGGTGAAGGAGGACTCTGTTGCAGACTCATTAGGACAGACAGCATGAGTCAGGGCTGCGTAATATCCAGGGATGGAACAGGGACACTCCTCCCCCCAGCCCAGTCATCCTCATCCAGGGCCCCGGGCTCTTGGGTGGCAGCGGGTCCCCCATGGTCAGGGAATGCGGGCTCCATTAGTACCTTTCTCACCACATTTGGAGAGGAGTGCTGGATGGTGTTGTCCAGTGGGGGGACACTGGGAGGGGTTTCTTCCCCAGACGCCTGGGGCAAGTTAGCAGCAGTATTCTTGTCAAGAGGGAGAGCCGGCTTTGGACCTTCAGATGCTGGGGGCTCATCTGAAGCCTGAAGAAGAAAATAAGAATTTGAGTGGGTTTTACCGCAAAGAGTAGCAATGGCAGCAGCAAAGGCTGATGGCCACCCTGCATTACCCATTGTCATCAACTATACATTGTGACCTGCTTGAAAATTTTTCAGAAAGAAAGATACTCTTATCTAAACTCTTGCTGAGACTACATCCTAATATGATAGTCTCAAGATAGAACCCAAACCAAGAATTCTGGGCTAACCCTGCCGTATTCACTTTAGCAATCCTAATGGTTCTGACTTCCATTTTGCCTGTGGTCCTCAGTGAACCCTAGACCTTTCTCTGCCATCATGAGGGTGGCTTCATATCTCCTCAAAGGAACTGAGCCTCAGAGGGAGACATCTGAAGCATGATCTGACGCTGTCAGTGCTAAAGCAGAAATGTGAGGCCTTATATTTTATTATAAAGTAAAAGTCCATAGAGCTGCTTTGAAGATACAAACGTGATTACAGAATTAAAGGACATACCACTGGGGAAAAAGTGAGAAAGGATGGGGAGAAGGGGCTGGAACAGGAAACTCCAGGAAAAAAAGAAAAGCACTAGTTAAGGATGAAGATGTGGAATGCAGCAAAGATCCCAGAGGTACAAATGTACCTCCTCAGTTGGCTCGTGACTGAGAGAAGACAGGAGCGGCATTCATCACTCCCCCAGGGAGAGAACGAGGCCTCTTCTGTGGAATTACAGTCAGCAGACCGGGATCCAAGCCTTGGCTCTGTCTGTCGCTCAATGTTTTATGATCTCTAGGCAAAGTGCTTACCTTCTCTGACCCCCTCTTCTGCGCCTATAAAATACACATGGCAATGCCCACCTAACACTGTTGATAGGATAAATCGTATAGTATATATAAAACATACCCAGCTTAAGATATCTGAAGTAAATTTTAAGTCCACAGCTGAGTAGTGTTGGAAAGCTGCTGCCCACTAGAATCAAAGGCATGCCCTCCCGCTGCTCCTGAAGCTCTCCCCTTTCACCTGAGATTCCTAAGTTCCCAGCCAGGGAAGTGAGAGGTTATAAAGATAAGAAACAGCCTCCCTTCTGTCCTGGCAATGGCAGGAGTCTAGCACAGCTCAGAAGATTCTATTAATGGACAAGGTCCCTAGCGTCATCTAGGAGGGCAGGGCTAAGCCAGGCCACTCTGGAGAGTATTGAGCCCAGATCTATGTTGGGGCAAAGTACCATGCTCTCTAGAGCTTTTCTGTGATGGGCAGGGGAACCCAGGGAGGACTTGAAATGTGAGGGCTGAGTTCAAGGCCACCCTAAGATGAAGAATCTGTGTTCCTGTGACTGGGGAGGCTGTGTTTGCCAAGCGATCCCAGGACAGGGAGGACATGTGTCCCAAGCCACCCTGAGGCTCACCTGCACGGCATCCTCCTGGCTCTGGGACTGGATGGGTGCTGGCTGCCTCACAATGTAGTTGATCTGCCCCACAATGGTTTGCTGAAGGTGCTGAGGAGATTTGGTCTGATTCAGCTGCAGGCTGGGCTGCTGAGCCTGAAGGAGAAGCTCCAGGTCCTTCTGCATCTCCTCCAGCTCAAATTTGTGGTGCATTATATCCATGTTCTGGGAGCAGGCAGGCCCAGGCGGGCTTCCATGCTGACTAGAAGCCAGGTGCTGGGATGGAGGTAGAGGTGGCGGTGGCGGCTGCTGGGGTGGGGGCGGCGGAGGCGGCAGAGGTGGCAGCTGCTGCTGTGGCTGCTGCTGAAAGTGGCTGAGCTTCAGCTTCTGGTGGTGGCCAAACTGGACTTGGATGGAGGGGGTCTGTAAGGGGGGCTGGGCATGGGCTCCTTGCTGAACATCCTGCGGGGGCACGATGCACACTGGCTGGGAAGTCAGCTGCTGCCCCGGCCGCTGAGACGAGTTCTCCTGCTCCACGGGGGGCTGCGTTTCCAGCCAGGGCTGCATCAGTTTTGGTGGCTGAGGATTACAAGCCAGCTCTTTCTCCCTGGGCAGCAGGGCAGGGCACTGAAGAGACCCCAGTTGTTGGGGTGCCATCTCAGAGGGTTGCCTGAAGCTGTGAGCTGAGTGTACCCCAGGTGGGGGGACCTGACCTTTGAGGGAGGGCGAGACTGGGGAGCAGTGGGAGCAGCACACAGATGAGGAACACAGTGCTGGAGACTGGAACTTATGTGAGGGGTGGCTGAGAGTCTCTTGCTGTGCCACTGGGGACTGATGGCTTTGATAAAAGGATGGCGGTCCCTGTAAGCCTCCATAAGCAGGAGTCTCTGCCCGGGACAGATGTCCACCTTCAGTAGTTATACAGCCTGAAAATTCAGAATAGAGAATGTTTCCAAAGGGAATCTGCAGTTGTTCCCTGCTTGCCACTTCCTGCTCCCGGGACCACAGGACATCAGTCAGTGGACCTGTACCAGGTGCAGAGATTAGGAAATTCAACCCCTGAACTCTGAGATTTGGTCTAGAATGCTGTCAGCAATGGAACCAGTATGGACCTTTGGGGGCCAGGGACATTTGAGACATTAGCTCAGCTTTTACCAGATGCTCAGTCCTCACTCTGTTTGTATCCCGCTACAGAAACCATGGACTCCTTCAAATAGCACCCACTCCTTTTTAACACAGGCTCAGACCAAAAAAAAAAAAAAAAAAAGTCAACATTGGGGATGGGGAGGTAGTATGCTGGAGAGTAGCAAAGGAGAGAGAATTGACCCTGGGACAAATGAATAAGTCTCCAAATATAGGTCTGGGAGGCTGTGTTTTGGGCAAGTAGGATGGACAGAGTCGGAGAGCTCCAACACCAGGTCAGTAGCAGACACAAGCACTGTCCCGAGGTCCCAAGGCTTCGTGCATTAGTAGACAGTATATATGCCTAGCTCAATCTCGTAGCTTCCTCGCCTCATTGTTTTGATGAGGCTTGCTTAGGGAAGACCCAACAACTTGAGAGCTAGAGGTGTGTTCTATTCATCTCTGATCCCTCAGCACCCAGCATGGGGTGCTGGCCCACAGCAAGGGCCTGCCAAAGGTCTGCTGAATTAAATCAAAGTGGAGAGGGAAGCAAAGAATAAATCTAAATATTATGCTTCTCTCTGTCAAGTTCAAAAACCTTCCATAGAGGTTAACAACCCAGATGAAGGCAGCAGTTGGCCGTTAGCTTAACAAACCTACCATTGGGCCATCAACACAGGCACAACCTCAGGTTGTCTACATTCTGCCTAAAGACTCAATGCCAGAAAATCACTGCAGCAGGGAGGGCCATGGATTATCTGTTTCCATCTTGACTCCAGAGGAGGTGTGTGGACACTACCCCTCTCCCTCCCTCCTTCCCTCACCTTGTTGCTGATACCCATTTTGTGTCTACGCACACGAATACCCTTGTATGGCCACAGAGACAGAGGTTCACCTGAACTGCCATACAGCAGTCTGAAGAGCAGAGCCACTGTCTTGTTTCCTCTAGCAATGAAACCAAGGTAACAGGGACATTCATGCAGAATGGAAACCTCAGATTTCAACTGGTCCTGTTACAAAAGTCCTGCATTGCCATTGCTATTTAAGTTGTCCCCCTCCTCAACCCCACCTCACTCCCGCACACACAAAATGGTCTGCTGAGTGACTCCATGACCACTGGCAGTCCCAGGGAGTGCCTTCTCTTGGGATTAGGCTAACCTACCCAGTAAGCTAAGAAGATGCTCTCTATTCATTGTTAGCACTTATGTAAAAGCCCACAGGGTGGGCCCTGACTCACCAAGGGAAGCCAGTTGCTTGGTCCAGAAGTTAGGCTCCCAGGTGAATCTGATACTCCAAGGGGAGCCAGGATCTGTGTTACAGTTTGTCTCCAGCAATCGCTGCATCTGAAACACAATCTGACAACAGAGCCAAAGGTCATTTCTTTGGGCATCTTGCACCTGAATGACAACTCTCTCTCCCTCACTCTTCGACAGGGTGAAGGGCTCAAAGCCATAGGTCTTTAGCCTCAGGTCCCCCATACGCTCATTTCCTTGCACCTTGGTATCTTCACATCCCTTCCCCTGACCTTGTCCCCTCCCTGCCCCTACCAGCTCATGCCCTTCCTCTTATCCAGGTTTCCTGATCCCCTATACTTTTATCTTTCAGGCCTTGAATGGTCTATAATTCTCCCTCAGACATCACCTGCCTGGCAGCCCTCTCAAGAGTTGCATTCATTCTTCCATAACCTTGATTTGAAAGCCTACAAAGGCAGACATTCTCTGAGCTCCCACTGCTGTCCTTCCATCCATATGTAACACCCCATCCTAACAACTGCCCTCTTCCTCCCTCATCACTTCCATCTATCCCCTATCATGAACTTTTCCATTTATCCAGGATTTTGGCAAGTGTCCAACTCATCCTTGCCATCATCTAGTTAACCAATGCCTCAGTCAGCATCTTGGCCTCTTCCTTCCTCTCTTTCGTGTCACCTTCACCCCTCTTTTCAGGTCAGCCACCTGACCCAGACCTTTTCATCTTCTAGAGACCTTCATCTCTAGCAACTGGCCCCTGCTTTAACTAGTTCTCACTCTTTCTGAGCATGCTTGCTCCTCAACCTTACCGAACTCCCCAAGCCCTGTGCCATTGGTCCCTAGGGCCATTCCAGCTTCCCATCATTTTCAGTAACAGTATCACTAGCGCTTAACTCCCTCTGCATCACCACAGTCTATTAGCCTTATGTCGATTCAGACATCCCAAAGCCATGTTATCTAACCTCGGGGTTAGATCACTAACCTCGGGGGCACCCTATAGTCCTTTTTCTTATCACTTCTTGTTGGCTTCCTCTTCCACTGTCCTCGATGACTATCTAAAGTCCACACTTCTCTCCTCAATTCTACTTACCCAGTGCCTAATTCTCCTATTATCACCTCCTAATTCAGAAAGGACAAGAGACACAAAAGACATACTTCCCCAAACTGGTACCATATGTACCTCCAACCTTAACTACAATATACTGAGACCTTCCTGTTCTTCCTTCTCAGAGGGGTGCCCCTTCCATTTAGGGTCCACTGGTTCACTCTAGGTCCTATTTCTTCCTGCCTTCTCAAGATGCTCACTCCACCACACATCTCCTTTCTCAATCATCAACCTCTTCTCCCAAAGAAACTTGCACAAATGCCTTCCACATTTAAAAAAAAAAAAAATCAATCCTCCAAATCCATCCCCTTCTCAAGCTACCTTATTTCCCCTCTTTTCACTTGTTTCTAATTCCTCCCCACCTCCTCTAAGGCCCCTCAGTCTAGCTTTTCACCCTCCTGTTTTGCTGGAATTTCTTTCAAAAGATCACCAGGGACCTCCTGATTCCCAAATCTCAAGGCTTCTCTTCACTACTCCTCTTTCACCTAGGTAGCGACAATAATGTGGACGACTTGAAATGTGAAATTGTTCATTTATGTGCACCACACCCTCCTATTTTTCATGCCATCTATGACTATTTCTTCTCACCGTCCTTTACTCTTCTTCTTCCTTTGTCTATGCTGAAAATGATAGTATTGCCCTGGGTTCCAGATTTCTTGTCCTCTTCCTTCACACACTCTTCCGAGGTGATACCACCAAGATCCCAGTTACTCCTACATCTATAGCCCCAACCCTGATTTTTCTTCTGACTTCCAGACCCGTCAAGCAAAACAGATTTTGGACATCTTCGAGATGCCCTGCAGGCACCTTAGATTCAACATATACAAATATAAACCCCACCAACTTCTTTCAAAATTCTTTCTCCTTCTTCTGGTCTTCACCATCCTCACAAGCCCAATACCTGAATATCATCCTCGATGCCTCCTTTCGTCTTAGCCCCCATTTAAACCCAAACAATTGTCTATGGGATGCCCAGAACACTGCTGGTGTCCGGGCTCATGTCTCAATCCATGACCTAACACAGGACTCCAGAATTTCCCACCTGAGTTGTCTGGAGGAAAGCAAGACCATTTTAGCACCTTGGCACTGTGGGGTTTGGTAAAAAGATGCTTATTCACTTACTAGCCCAAAGGCAGTGATTGATGAGTTGGAGCTCTTACCAGCTCTTTGCTGAACAGGAAAGGGACACTGGTTTTGCTGCAGACAGCCCAATTGATGAAGTTCTGCACATGTTCAAACTGGCGGTTGAGAACCATGATGCTCTGTAGCTGTTGCTCCAGCTTCCGCTTTCTCTCATTAGTAATGCCCTGCGTATGTATGGACAAAGACAGAGTCCCTGATCCTGTTCTTGGACTTCAGTCCCCCTGTTTGGGGAGTCTGGTGGCCTGTGGATCGGTGTGACCCTGACAGGGTCAGACGAGATTGTGCCCCTGAGAGGACAACAGTGGGACAGAGGGACACAGGAAGGGAGGGAGGAAGGTGGGTGGATTTTATAGTGCAAATATGAAATGGGTGATATATGAACGAGGACATGAACAAATGCCTACATCTCTTGGGCATAACTTGTTTCATGATCCTCTCTTGCAAGGCGATAAGTGTGTATAGACCAGGAAGGCAGATGACTTAAAGCCTTATAGCATTGATGGGAGTTTGAACTGATTTTCCAGCCCCTAATGAGCCATCCTCCCCAAATTAGACTGGACATTTTAAGATATAGAGAACAGCAGAAAGCTATGGAAACTGCATATCTGAATTCCAGCCAAGGGGGCTCCAAGCCCTGGGACTAGCTTGATATGTGCCTGGTTTCTGACCCAGGGAGATCGCCAACCCAGCCATCTGATCCATCTGTCCACATATACCTCCAACTCCTCTATGAGCCCATTGGCCTGTTTGTTCAGCTCATTCATCAGAACCATCTTGGCCATTTTGATCTGGTTTTCCACCTTCCTGTGTTGATGCTTCACTTCAAAAATCCTATAAATAGAATGGGACATAGCATGATGAGCCCCTCCTCCAGGCCCATGATGACCTAGAGATAACAAACAAAACAGCCAACAACTTAGAGGCTGCCTATGCAGGCACCAAATATAAAGAAATAAGAACCTTTCTCCACCACCCTACCCTTTGCACATGCAGCCCACTTGATCTAAGTGGGCCAATGGCCCAAAGTTCAACCAGGTTTTCTCTAGGTAAATATCAGGTCCACACTCAGGTCAACCCAGCAGCTCACTAGTTACACAGCAATGGAGACAGGACAGAAAGAGTGAGTATGAGTATGACATCATGTAATCTGTTGTCTTAAAAAGGTGGATGCTCCACTAAACAATGCCATGCAGTAAAAAGATCATGGGCAAGGACAGAAAGAAGACTAGTGGTTGCCAAGGGCTAGGGATGTTGGGGGGAATGGAGAGTAACTACTAATAATGTGTACTGGGTTTCTTTGGGGAGTGATAAAATGTTCTAAAAGTAGATGGTAACAATGATTTACACAACTTGGAATATACTGAAAACCACTGAATTGTACATTTTAAAAGAACAATTTTATGGTATATAAACTATAGCTCAATAAAGTTGTTTTTTTAAAAAAGAACACAGGCTTTGGAGTCACACATACCTAGCTTCCAAATCCAGCTCAGTCACTGACTAGCTGTGTGATCTCAGACAAGTCACCTAACCTCTCTGAACCTCAGTCTTCTCATTAGTACAATGGAGCTAATCCAACTCTAAGAATTATAAGAATTGAACAAAATAATGCATGTATGATGTCCAACCCAGTGCCTGCCACATGATGAGCTCTTAGTGTCTACTAATTCCTCTTCCTACATTAAATATTAATGGTTCTATATCATTTGTAGATGTATATGGAAGACACTGGGAAAGGGATGATAAAGGGTAGATTTCCACTGAGTTACTGCACCCTCATGATAAACCCAGAATCTGCTTCGTGCCATCATTCTCAAGTACCTACCCTGGCTATGTCTGTCATAGGCCACATTCAGGAGGCATGTGCCTAGGCTCAAACTCACACTGATCACCCTGACCTAGCTTGGTCCCATTTACCAAGTGATGGCCCAAAGCCCTTTCACTGGCCCTGAGAACTCTAAGTTCCAGGACATATGCCTTCTGGGACACATGCCCACATCTGCTTAACCTCATGTATTCTTCATAAGTACTACATCTGATAGCCTGATATCAACATCCAGGATGTCAAGAAACAGAGCATTTCCACAATTGGCAAGGGGCTAGTCTGTGTTACCTGTCCTCAATTTGCTTTGCAGAGGTCTGTAGATTAGATTTCTTATGAGCCACCTGTGTAGTCACACTTTCCAGAAGCATCCTCTGGTTTTGCAAAACTTCTTCAAGATGTCTACACCTAAAGAAGGAGGCAGAGAAAAAGCTGAGGAGATCCGAGTATTCTTCTGAGCATGCCAGTCAAGCAAGAACCCCCACCATGTATTGTCTCAGCCAGGCCCATGGAAGCTGGGATTATTACATCTAGGGAAAGTCAGATATAGTGCAGAGTCTTAACCCTTCAGGTCTTCTCTAGAGAAGCCCCATGGCAAGAGCAGAGAAAAACTCCAGCCTCAGGGCTCCAGATTGGCGCAGGCAGAGAGAGGATTTTGATGCACTGGGAGGCCAGCACTAGCAAAGCAGAGTCCAGAACCCTCCCAGGCCCCCTTTGAGCAGCCAGCCATCCCTACCTATGTTCTTTGTGTTCCACCATGAGGCAGCTATGGCATGTTAGAACATCACAAGTCTCACAGAATAGCTTGAGCACTTCTTGTGTGTGTAGAGGACAGTACAAGGCGAAGTCCCCAGAACCACCAGTCACTCCTGCCAGAGAAGACAGAGAGAGTGGGCTTCTCTTGCTCAGGAAGACTCTCAGTTAAGCTCCACTGAGCAGCCCTCAGCCCTCAATGGACACAGGGGAGACACAGAACCTGGAAGAAAGGTGGTGCAGACAGGAGAGGCCTCTCTCTGGGCCAGTGAGGTTCCAGGAGCACAAGGAAGAATGTGAGCTTAGCCCGGCTGGATTTGCCCAGCTGTCCAGAAATCACACACCACCCAGCCCCAGGTATCTCACCACCTGCCAGAGGCTGAGGAAGGGGCCTGCTACTGCAGCACATGGATCTTCTGCAGAGTAATGGATCCTCTAAAATTCAACCTAAAGCTCTTCATTAACCAGGGTGCTGCTTCGGGGGCTATAGGCCAGGTCACAGACCATTAACTCTGGTTCATGTGGGTGTAACTAAGGTAAAAACCTTCCTACAGTTCAAGGACCTTGGGCAAAGACTGTCAAGGAGACTGTCATTGAAAACAAGTGGCAATGAATGGGCCAATGGACAAGCCCTGATCCAGGCTGTTTAATTATGCAAGTAACTAAATAGAAGTGAGGCATGATTGTTCTACTTAGAGATGAAAGTAGGGAACTCGGCTAGCACTCACAATAATTCAGGACTACTCTTCCCTGCACGTCTCACCCACACTCACCCCTCCCACCCCCAACAAAAGAGAGCCTAGCCATGAACTTGCACTGTGGCTGTGACTCTGGAGGAGACATTTTTCTTTTGGGAAAGGCTCTAAGACCACCTTTACCTTCACCCCAGTAGGGAGACAAGGTCAGAGAGCCACTCTCCAGAGGTTTTAGGGGCCAGAACTGCTTAAGGGCACGTGAGCCGGTGGGGGAAGCAGGGAGAGATACCTGGAGGGCCCTTCTGGGCCCGGGGAAAGAGAGGGCCCCCGGGGGCTGGGCCGTGCCGGTGCTCCTCCGTGCAGGAGCTGCACAGCCAGCGGTTGCAGTAGGTGCAGAGGATGTGTGCTGCCCTCTTCTCCTTGCACTCGGAGCAGTTCTGGAAGCAGAGAGGTCTGGAGTTACTGACAGCATCCTCAATTGGGCCTGCCTCCATGAGGGACTGGGGGCCTGTAGGGCTATTCTCGATAGGGCAGTCAGTTTTGGAAAGCCACCTAGGAGTGACAGTGGTGGCTTGTGAAGGAAATCATCCTTTGTGACTAAAAGAATAGTGGCCACAGGGACTATTCCCCCAAGTCTCAAGCTGAAGATGAGGAGAAGGCAAAGATCTACTTCCCAGGCGACATAGCCTGCAGGGCATGGCAGAAGGTTAATGGATGATGCTGTGAAAAAAGCACACAGCCAATGTTAAGGAAGCACAGGGAGGTTTCCAGGAGCTCAGTCTAGGAGTTGCTAGGAAATATTTCATGAGGAAGTGACTTCTGATTGGATATGGAATGACAGGTAGGAGTTTCCCAAGCATGCAGGGGAGTAAAATGGGAGAATACAGGCAAAAGCGGGGAAGTTCAGCGTGCCTGCAAAAAGGGAGAAGCCACAGATGTGGGAGTACACAGAAAGACAATCGATCATATACAGCCAAGAAAGAACAAGTACAGACCAACTCTTAGAGCTGTGTTTCCACAACTGGGGCTTGCTGGACCCAAGAGAACCTAGTCCTCTCCTAGCCCAAAGGTTCATTGTTTTGGTCAGCAAATATCTGGCAGGGTAATGTAAAAACATGTGTAAAAAAGATTTGAAAAAAGTAGCCTGTCTGTGCCTGGATAATATAGGCCATCAAAATAATGTGTATCCTGACAGCTTTGTACTCATACTGGCCTCTGACAAACCCACAGGGGGAAGGAGGGAAAAAAAGAAGAGAAATACAAGTGTTACTCATTAAACTATGAGTTCCTTGAGAGTAGAGAACATGGATGTTTGTCTCCCTAGCACCCAGCACAGGGCCTGGCACATGTCAGACATTCACTAAGAATTCAATACAGGATCAAGTAAGTACACTGGCAAATGAAGAAAGTATAGTGCCAGGAATACCCCAGAGGAGAAAGGAACAGTAGGTGCCAGGCAGTAAGTGATGTAAAATTGCAGAAACTCAGAAAAAGAGGTATTAGTTGCTAAATATAGGCAAGATTGATTAACCCATTTAGCTGGTGTATAAGTTTCAACTGAGGGGAAGAAAAAAGGAAATAAAAGATCAGTACTAATATTTTTCAGTCAGAGCTGTAAGAGAGAGAAAAATAGCCCCATTTTACTTCCCCCAACTCAAATATTTTAATTCTCTTTAGATGGAGGGATGGATGGATGGATGGATGGATGGATGGAAGGAAGGAAGGAAGGAAGGAAGGAAGGAAGGAAGGAAGGAAGGTTAGGCAAATTGATGGAGGGGTAACAAGTCAGATGAAGTGATGGGTGAATAGATGAACTTACGGTCAGGGGCCCCACAGATTTCTGAAAAGGATCAGTTGTTTTCTTGTCCTGACTTACCCTGGCCATCTTGGATTGCCCAGTAGAAAAGCACTGCAGAAAAAAATGCTCAGTTACATCCCTGGTGAGGTCCACTTGCTTATACCCAGGACAGGAGATGAGCTCTGGGAAGGGGGCAAAAAAGCAGAGTCAGGGCAACATGGCAGATTATACATAAGGCCTAGACACAAGGCTTTCTACTACACAACACCAAGGCATGTGTCAAAACCCCTCGTGCCAAAATGACCTGTGTTTGATGTCATAGTCTGCACTTACCATCTAGGTACTCTGGACATGACCACTCCTTTAGGGGCCGGCCCTACAGACCTCCTCACATCCACCTTCCCGACTTCCTCACAAGCCATGCTACCTGTTCTGCTTCTGATTAACTGGGTGCCTTCCTGCTGCTCCCACTCCTCATTTCCCAGCTCTGAGACCCAACCTCCCATTATTGGCTAAGCTCCCAGGGGTCAGTTTATCCCAGGACACAGATCCAGCCACTAAGGTTACCACAAAGCAGAACTACTATAAAGATCTCAAAGCCAGAGCTTCTAGAAAGCTCTTCCCACAGAAAGCAAGGCCTCCCTGTCTGCTCATCTAGCAGATATTTTTCTCTTCTTACTGCCAATACCAATCAGTCTGCCCATGGGGCTCACAGAGATTTTGTGGGGCCTTCCCCACCTAGTCCATATTGCACGCCCTACACAGACATATGTTTCACCTGGGTACACGAACATTTTGCCCTATCCCCTCTCCCCAGGGAAATGTAAACATCTCCAACACTTTCCTCAGTATACGGGGTTCCCGAACTACATAAGCAACATAGACTGCCACCCTGGAGACTAGAGTGCTCTTCAGGCCCACCTCAAGAGCAGGAAGCTCACTGGGTGCAAGGAAATGCGGCTCCTGGGGAGGGCCAGGTGCCTGTGCCCAGGCATGAGGGCCACCTGGAAAGGGGTGGCTATGACAGAGAATGCAGCGGTACCACCATAGTATTTTCTGCCTCGTATCATCGAAATGATACAATGGCAGTTGCTCTAGACCTGCAGTTAGACAAACTTACGTCTAAACACAAGGTTTACCACCCAGTGACCTTGGTTGGGCAAGTCACTTAATCTCACTTAGCTCCTCAGGTGTCCTGTTTCTTCACGTGTGAAATAGGAAGGGAAAATAAGAGTTGCAAGGTTTAAATTAAATAATACTTGAGAAAGCACCTGTTCCTCCACGAACGTTGACTTTGAAATCAAAACATTTCTCATATCCCATTTATGGCAAGGCAATGACCTCAATTATCAACTCTCCCAAGTGATGGAAGTCAGATAGTCTGAGAGGTAGAGTTAAAAAATAACCATAAATTCTCCCCCCACCCCCACAACCCCCCTGCATCCATGCTCTAGCATGGAGTCTATTCTCCACCCTTTGAAGCTAGGCCACCTTCATCATGTACTCTGGTCAAAAGAAAGCCACAAAAGTGATGCTGAACCAGTTCTAAGCCTAGGCCTCGAGTGGCTTTGTATGATTTAGCTCTGCCCTCAGAACTCTAAGACTTCCACCTGAACGACCCCAGGTTAGATTGCTGGATGAAAGACTACGCAGACAGAGGCCTCGGTTCTCTCTAGTGCTCACCTGAAGCCGTCATAAACCAGTTAGCCCCAAATGACTCACTGGCTGAATACAGACAAAGGAGTGAGCACAGTTGAGCCTAGCCAAGCCCAGCCAAGCCCCAAAGAACCAGCCAGAGAGTCCCAGCCCAAACTGCTGACCTATAGAATCAGTATTTTTAAACTACTAAGTCTTGAGTGTCTTATAATGGAGCAAAAGCTAACTGATCTACCCTGGAAAAACCAAAATCCACCAAATCATGCAAAGTAATAATTCAATACTTGTCCTCCCCTTCCCCCCACTGAAGAGACACCCCCCCCACACACACACACACACCCCTCACAGAGCCATGGATCTGCAATCCCTAAGACATTCTCCTGCCTGTCAGGAACAGTGGCCAGAGGCAAAGAAGAATGCTCTTCATAGGTGTCATCATCCAGGGGAATTGGGTGACTGTCCCTCTCTTCCATTTGGCTCACCCTGAAGAGACTCCCCTTATCTACCCCCAGGTCAGAAACACTGCTCTAAATGTTGAAAATAATTTCCACAAGGCTTCTAACCCCCTGGTAACAGATGCCCAAACATTAGTCTCATTAGCATCAAGGAAAAAAGGGAGAAACAACTGAATAGATCAGACAAGGCTTCATAGCACATCCTCTACTGCCCCTGGCCATAAATGCCAAAATCCTCATCTTGGTGCTCAAGATGGCCTTACTTCACTCTAATCTTATCTTCAGCTTCACCTGCCTCACACCCTGTGTCCTTGCTGGGGCAAATATCTCTGCTGTCTTCAGATTGTCAAACCTCTGCATAACTCTGTTTATGAGAGTGCTGTTCCCTCTCCCTGAAATACTCTTTCTTGCTCCCCTCCTTTTCAAATAAACTCCTATTCATCCTTTCAAACCTGTTCAAATGTTCTGCCTTTAAGAAGCAGGGTTGATTTCCCTCAGGATGAGTTAATTATTCCCTCTTCTGGGTTCCCACAGCACCCTGAACATCCTTCTAGTATGACAAATATCACATTGCATTTTAACTATCTGTTCATACGTCTGCATACAAAAATAATCCACAATTGGCACTAAAAGATATTGCATAATTTTTAGCAGATTGGACAATTATATTTCTTTGGGGTTTGGGTATCCCATGCGTATTCCTTGCACTCACAGCCACTGAAAGTAGTAAGAAGCCATCTGGAGGTTTTCAGGGTGATGAGAAAAAAGCCAGCCAGGATGATAAAGGAATCAGGTCTGATCTACAGCTGTGAAAGGCTGTGAATTGGGAGATGTGGGTTCCAGGTCTAGGGCTGGCACTATCTGTGTAACCTTAGGTAAGTGACCTCTTTCCCCTGAACCTTATTGTCTACATCCTTAATATGAGGGGAACAGGAACAGCAGGGAAGTGTGGATTATCCAACCCGCTTCCTCTGCCTAATGTACCCAAGCTCCAGAAATATTCCCCTGGGCAAGACTGGATGGGACAGATAGCCAAACAGTGCCCTGCCGATCGTCTTTGTCAGCAAGTCAGGGGACAGGCTTATGGCTTAGGGGAGGCCTACATCTAAAAGTCATCCCATCTGACAAGGGGCTGTCGTGGCAGACAGCAGAGATGGAATACCACCACGGCATTGGTACAAGCAGGCCCCAGGGAGGCTGTGGGTCCCAGAGTGGACACAGAGGACATGTGCTCTCTTTGGGTCATGACATCTTTGTCCAGAAATTCTTATCTTCCTTCAGAAGGCCCCTAGCCCCCATCAAGCTATGTTAACCTTGAGCTTTTGTTTCAAGGGGGTTCCCCATTCTTCAGTGCGAATCCCAAAATAAAGTTTTATTTTAGACAACTATAATACATGAATCCCTAGGGCTACAGATGTATATACAAAATAACCAAACATCTGCTTATAATATTTAACATTTAATGTTTAATATTTAGTCATCAATACATATTTAAATCACATATTGCACAAAATATTTAGATATGTTTCTTTTTTTCTATCAGGATTATTCAAGCCTTAAGCTTTTATTTCATACACAGAAACATCAATTCTGAGCAATGCAGAGCCAGGGCCCAAAGGCCACACACCACCATCCCTAGAGAAGTGGGGTTCCTGCCTCCCAAATGAAGAAGTCACAGGCCCCAGAGGTTCTTCTGGGGACCTACGAGCCTGGGAGAGAAGTTCTGAAAGCTGAAGGCGTTCAGTCCACCTGTCATAAGAATGAGCACTCCCGTCCCTGGGGTGGATCATTCTTTTACCACCACTCCCTGCACGAGACACTTTTTGCATGTTATCTCAGTTAATCATCAAACCACCTCTGAGAGGTAGACATTATCCCCATTTCATAGCTGGGGAGACTGAGGCTCTAAGAAGTTGTCATCTGGCAAAGATCATATGAAACAGCAGCAGAGCCATGATTGGAAATCAAGTCTCCCTGCCTCTAAAATCCACCCCTTTCCAGAGCACCTAGATGGCTCAGTCAGTAAAGCATCCAACTTTGGCTCAGGTCATGATCTCGCGGTCCATGAGTTTGAGCCCCGCATCTGGCTCTGTGCTGACAGCTCAGAGCCTGGAGCCTGCTTCAGATTTTATGTCTCCCTCTCTCTCTGCCCCTCCCTGATTGCACTCTGTCTCCCTTTCTCAAAAATAAACAAACATTAAAAAAATTAAAATCCACCCCTTTCCATTATGCTATATCTCTCTAATTCAAATGTAAACAAGCTAATTTTATTTTAATTAGATAATTTTATTATAAGTAAAACATGCCATAATAATGATCAGACTCTAATTATGACCTGGACCCAGCTTTGGATTATGGGAATCCAGAAGGAAGGAGCTGGGAAGCCAGCCCCATCTGTGTTTAAAGTTTTATAAAATAGACTCCTTGAGAAAAGGCAGGCAAAGAAGAGTTTTTCTGCATGGTAATAAATCTGGGGACAGTTTCATATTATAGAACCAGTGGTTCTCGAACTTTGTTACATATTTGAATCCTGTGGGGCACTTTAAACATCCTGATGTCCATTCCATATCAATTAAATCAGAGTTTTAGGAGGTGGAATCCAGGCATAAATATTTGTTAAAATTCCCCAGGTGATTACAACATACAACCATGTTTGAGAACCAGCACCTTAGAGAGAGTCTCTCCTACCCCTGTGCCTAAGTCTGATAGCTCTTTCCCCACACCATGCGGCTGAGGAAGGCAGGATCGGCCAGTTTTAAAGAGGCTCCACAAAGTTAGGAAACATTTTGAATGTGGAGGTGATGTATTTCCCCTCTGGCAAGGAAGAGAAAAGGGCACATTCCCACCAGACAGCAGGTGTCCTGATACGTGGGTACCCTGGGGACCAGCAGTGAGCTGGAGGACACCTCCTGCCCCCCCTAACTCCCAGCTCCACTGAAGGACCCAGGAGCAGACTTAGGGTGCTGCCTGAGCTTTGGCACTACAAGCATGGCTGCTGGGGCCTAGGGTGCGCTATGCTCCGGACTGAGTGAGGCAGCAAGGGACAGGAGTCAAGACTGGGTAGTCCACCC